CTTTAAAAGCCATTCATCTAACATATTAAATAAATCATAATTTCAATATTATGAATAAAACCATTAGTAAGCATGCCAATTTATTAAAAATTTCTTGGATATTATTTTTTTTCTTAGTATTATAGTGTATAATATCATTAAATATATTATTTTAGGAAATGTATTACATTTACCTAATTATGTATGTACTATATATTATAATTATTCGTCAAGCTGTCGGTAAGATATAGGTCATAGTGATGTATAACAAATGTTTTATGCAAGAAAATCATTTTAATATAACCGTAAATCATAAAGGCATTTGATTAACTTATACTTTCTTTTCCACTTTCAGAGAGCTTTCAAAATTTGGCTGTTTTGATGGATGTTTATAGATTTTATTTAAATCTAAAAATTATTAAAGAACTTTCAGGAAAACTTCATCAACGAATAAACATTTATTAGTAATATCGTCTATGTTTAAATATATCATATTATTCAATAATTAGTATAGATAGGTAGTTGATTATACATTTTTAGTACTTTAGGAGTAGATACCTACACATTTTTTTAAATACATTTTAAATGATATTTTTTTTTAAGCGAAATAGGTACGTGAACTAAATAATAATAAATTCACCATGAAAATACTTTTGATTAAATTAACTTGTCCAATCCAGATTCTAAAAAAAGTGATAGTGATGTATATTGATATTTGAAAGTTCGGTCAAGGATTTCAATATTTCATTATTTTTTGGTATGTTGTTGGATATTTTGTTTTTATTTCTGGCTTCATGGCAGATGTCGCATTTGGTAATTATATGTTTAACGAATACATTTGAAGAAGTTTATTTTTCTGTCTTTTATACTTAAAATCCATTAAAACTATAGAGTTCTGTTTTTTAATTATATTTTTGAAAGTCCTGTTTTATTAACTTGGTTTAATTTTTGTTAATTTAATTTTTAAATGTTTTCTTTGGAGATGTTAAAATCCGAGTAAATTGAGGACGGGTCTAAATATCTTTGATAATTTTTTAATAATTGTTTGAAGGTATGAAACCGAAATTGACACATTTTTCATTGTTGAAATTTGTATTAATCAATATATATATATATATATTTATTTAATGATGTTCAACTAATTTTCATTTTTTTTTTTTTTTTACCTGATATACGTAAATTATATATCTATAGTTATTATTCAGTGTTATATTTTAATTAACGTGTCTAAAATGCTTAAATAATTAAATGTACATTAGTTTTGTTTAGACATTACTGTTGACGCAACAGTGGCCTTTGATATTTACATAAAAACATGTAACATAATCATCGGATAAAAATACCATTAAGGTTAGTTTTATCGTAGTTGACTAGGAATAATTTGAACTATTTTAGCTAAACTACAAAATATCAAGTGTTCCAAACGGTTAAAATGTATTATTATTATTTTTTTTTTTTATTGATCCTTTACAACTTTGACAGCAGAGGCCATTAGTTATTTTATTTTTTTACATTACATTTGCTTACATGCTATTTACATATTTTTGTATTAGTATTTAGGTTTTTTAGTTGATTATATGTGTAAAAAGTATATGATATTTTACTTTAGATTTGATTATAAATATTGATTTGCTTAAAAAATATATTATTATACAAATTACTAGTTCAAAACATCAATGACAAATTATTTATTATTAAAACGTGTATTTTAATAGAAGTGTAAAAAGTATGCTTCAAACAAATAATATGTTGTACAAAAGTAAAATAAATTGAAAACTGAATTGTTTCGCGTTTAAATTAATGCAAACATTATATTGTACTAAACATATCCAAAATATATCCAAAATAAATTTCTATAAAATTATAATCTTTTTCCAATTAAAATATTTATTTTTTTAAATCTTCAACACTCAAAATGGTAACGCGTTTTATTTTAGATTTGCTTATCAAAAATATTTTCTATTATAATTTACACGGGAAAAATGCAAACGAAATTTCGTAACATATATTGTAAACAAAGTAACGTCGTTGCAGTAATGTATTATAATAGTTTTAACGTTACTTCCAATACTGAAAATTCGTACCTGGTACGAATGGTACCTATTGTTTAAGACAGTATACTTAAGAATTGTTACAATAATCTATAAATTATTTTTAGTGTTTTACATATTTTTTTAAATAATATAAAAATATATTGAATTTTTTATTTTTTAAATTTACTTACTCATTAAATATACATTGGTATTGATAAATTGTAATAGATTTAAATAATTTTTTTCGTACAAAATAATACTGATACTCGATGAAATTTTCAACAAGTGTCTAGCTTATATTTTAATAAGAAATTTAAGCAGTTTTGAATATTTGCTATTATGTTTTTTAGCTATTGTATACAGTATACTTAGCTGTTTTAGTTTCACCATTATGTCGGTGACTTTATATCGGAAGCTCGTTAAAGGCGAGACTCGCGGTAAAATATCGTTGTAATATTATGTGTTAAACTTAAAAGCTTAATTTATTTTTAGGTATAAATATATTGATGTTGTTATATTGTACCAATAAAAAATTTTAATAAAATTTATAATCATAATAAAATATTTTATATTAAACAGCTGGTTAAATAATATTATCATTAAAAAAATTACTAAGAATACTTAGTAGTTAGTACTTACCTATATAAGATTCAAACACAATGGCGATTTCTTTATTATTCTCCTTCTATTCACATATTACAACATTTGAACCGTTTTATTTTAAATTATTTCACCATCATTTAAACTTAGTACTCATTAGTCGTCACTACTTCATAATTGTTTTGAATTTTTTCATATTCTGAGAAAATTTTTTTCCAAAAATTAAAAATTAGAAATAGCATCTGTATTCAGTTCCCAACTTATAAAGTAATAAAATTATTGTATGAAGATACTTTATGAAATTTTTTACAACTGAAAATTGTTCTTAGAAAAACCTAATAAAAATAATTAATATTTAATATTGTAAATCTAAAATCACAGAATTTAAAATGTAATTACCGAGTTGGAATCACGTGTATGTTACTAATTTTAAAAATAATTACCTATGGGATTTTATTATTATTAACAGATTTATTGATGTAAAATAAGCCATGTAATTTAAATAACGATTCAGATCATAAATTATAGTTGAATTTTATGCTAAGAATAAAAATAATTTGTTCTTTAAAAAAAATTAATAATAATTTGTTAATATAAATTAAAATATGTAATAATTAAAATGTTTAACACAATTATGGAGTAATACTGAATTATAACATTGTGTTGATTTTTAAAGTGTTATTCTGAAGTGTAAGTATAGTATAAAAAACGACCTTACTATTTGAGTATCATACACGTTGGCACTAAGTCCAATTTCCAATTAATATGTAGTAAGATGTTGGACCCATATAACTTTTAAAAGTCTTTCAACTTCAAAATGTGTTTACACGCACAAAAAAACAAACCGTTATAAATGATTAACAACGACGCAATGTTCAGAATCTATAAGTTGACATTTTTTTTTTACATGTGGAAATTGTTATTTGTTGTTTTTTAGAAAGCTCAAGGCAACAGTGATGACTGATGTGTGACACCGAGTGCGATACAAATTGTAATAAATAAACAAAATTATATTTCTAAAATACGTATATTTGAAAATGACGACTGTAAAATACTAAAATAGATAGATATGCAATAAAATCGACAATACAACTAATAAAATACAATTAATAATTTGAGGATTCTGTAAGTAATAATACAAGAAAAAAAAACAGAATTATAATATAAACAACAACATTAACAACAACAACAACAACTATTTAGTTCAATTATTATCTAAGTATAATAAACCTATAGTTGGTGTATATTATATTGTGTACGTGTGTATATAAGTGTGAATGTTTTGTTGTTGAAAAAAAAAAATTCTACAATAAACAACTACTTGTTTACCTATTTTTAATAAATAGACCGATCGATCGATTAAAATATATAATGATGATAATAATAATAATAATAATAATGCTATATGTTGAAATTAAATTAAGTATGAAATTATTAAATGGTTAATTGTTAATGAAATATAATTGTAATGATAAGGAATTTATTATTTGAAATAAAAAGAAAAATAGTTAGCTATTTTTTATTTAAAGAATATTTTACGAAAAAATTATTTTTCAATAATATATTTTTCAAGTGAGCAGCGACAATGAGTTTAAAATACAAATTTTTATTTCAAATGACCCAACAGGCAGTATTTTGTTTGCCGGTGTACGAGTGCTTGTAAAGTGATGTTTCATGATAATGAATGTTTATAAATTTATGTAAAATTATTGAACATTTTTTCTACATCCTACTCCGATTAATAATAATTAATAAATTGTAGAAACAGAAATAAATTCCAAGCAAATTTAATTTGTTCGTTTTCGTGGATATACGTTGATTACCTACGCAGGTATTATATAAATGCGAGTTCCATCTAAATAAATGTAGATATGCGGTTTTTGTTATACGATGTATATATTATAATTTATAGCTACAATAGTCAATAATAATAATAATAATAATAATAATAAATTTAATATTATCTTGTGAATGTTAAAAATTTTAAGATAACTGCTGGAAAAAGTTAATTATAAGACGATTATGACAATAAAGTAATACTGCAGCGTTGGAATAAACTCAGTGTAATACAGAAGAAAATAATTGATATTAATATTCTTTGAAACGACGCATTATAAGCTCTCCTATGTTTAATGTAATAGTAACCCTCGTCATTTTCGTGATTTTTAATTTTATATATAATTATTATTATTTTGATTACAATTACGTTTGATTATTACGTTCTGATGGGACACAACGGTATTGATATAATTATTACAGTATTATAGTACCCTGCAGCTACCAAATTTTAGTTTAAATACATAAGGTAGGTATATAATACGATATACAATATCGACCGTAGTTTATTATTTTGGTAGAAACTCCAGAAAAAGTATTTAAATTGATGTGCGTGTTTTAAAATATACATATTAATAATTATATTAATAATAGTAAAAATAACAATAATAATAATTACACATTTATACGAATTTTACGTTGGTCATAATCGATACAGTGGAAATGAATAAAATATTATGACTGTATTATAATATAAGACGAAGATGGCGGAAAAGGAATGTTATTAGCTTAAGAGAAAAAAATTGAACAATACTTTATTTAATTAGTTTAATAATATATAGGTATCTAATGCTGTGGTTTACGAACCGATTGGCATAATGTTATGTTGCTGAACCTAATAAGAAACTTGTCACGACAGCGTTGGAAAACCTATATATTAAATGTAGTAAATGTAATTTTAATAAAACGTTTCCTCTCCTACATCCGCAGTGAAATATATAAAATAATATTATCGAAAATTACTATGATGATGATAATAATAATAATAATAATAATAATAATGACCAAACAAATGTGTAGTATAACAATTGCAGTTGTCGTACCTATTATGCTGAATTAACTCATCTGTCCTCGATAGATATTATCATTATTACCATATAGCATTATTGAATGTAAGAAAAAAAAATAATATTAATAATAATAATGGAAATTTTATACAGCAGCGGCGGTCCTATTGCTTGTTATCGATTCCATCGTCAGCCTTTCGAGCTTTGTGCCCGCGGAACGATGCCTGAATCTTCGTAGCGGCTTTGTGCAGCTCCGGATCGGCCAAGTCCACGTCCAACAGCTGATCTTGGTCCGCGTCCTGTACACGACAGTTCAATGGATGTGTAGTACATTTTATGGGTAATATCAAAATAAATGGGTTTTACATCATACGGTCGACGATGATGGACGAAGAACGACTATAAATTATTATTATTATTATAGCGCGTGTAAGTATACATTGTTTAAAAATTGTTGGTCGATGACGTGGTGAATCAATGATTTTATTCCAACCTAGCGGATTTTTAATCCACAGCAGACATGTCAAACTCAAAGTATTAAGTGAGCCAAATATATCGAATAGTTATAGCAATACGAGCTGCATATAAAAATTTGACAAAAAAAAAAAATGAATATTTTATACAAATTTTTCAATTTTTTCGTTACGTTTATGAATACTGCAAATACAATTAAACTAAAAAAAGGTTAACTTATCAGAAGATAAGACATTATTATAATGTATACAAATTAAATTATTCTCTAAGAATCCAAGATAGTTGTGACACAGCATTAATATTTTGTTATTATTATTTTTTTTTTGTCCATTAATATTGGCAGCCACGGGCCACAAAAAAAATGAACTGAGGGCCGCATGCGGCCCTCGGGCTGGGTGTTTGATATGCCTGATCTACAGCCTAGTGAAATAAACTTTTACTGGAAACTTATTTTCACGCTGGAAAATAACCTTCAATGTTGCGTTACATAAGTTCTGGTCATGTGAAATACTGAAATGCAATTCTCAAGTTGTAGAAAAATATATTTATAACTTAACTTTTAATGCTTTTGAATTTTATAATGTTTAGGTATAGAAATAAAAGTGGACGAGTGACAGTTATAGTTCAACATAAAACTATGCATATTAACATACGAGTAGATTAGACATTTTGTTTTTGAATACATATTAGGTATATTACACAAGTGGCAAATGTAATATATTTTGGTGATCCACTATTCAACTATTATATTTTAGATTCCAAGCGTACATATTGGTTTTTTACGATTAAAAAATAAGTATATATTTATTTTATTCAAGAATATTTGTTTTGAGAAACTCATCTTGGATCACCATAAAAATTCCAATAGTAGATAGTCGGTAAATGTGTATAGATATGTAATTGAATCTGTATTTTCTCTTTTAATATTAATGTTTTTGATGTATTATTATTGTGCAACAAATATGGCTGTTATTCATTGTTATTATTCTTTTATTCTCATCATGTACATTTCCCATGTCATCAACATACCAACCAATTATTGTTCATCTTTACATAACAATTAAAACCTCTAAATGGAAAATAAAATTAACATTTCTTCCCGATAAAGGATTTTAATGAAATCATGGAAATGTGTTTAAACTTTGAATGGTTCTTATTTATAAGTTTTGTAGAAAATAGTTTTGCTAGGTGTTTAAAATTGCATATTCTTAAAAGAAACCAAAATAAAAATCACGTTTTTTTTTAATAAAAAATATATTAATTATAACAGCAATAGTGGTTAAATAAAAAAAATGTATATCCTACAAAACTTAGATAAAAAAAATATTAATCAATTATTTATATTCATTATTGGACTTCAGTAAGTAAGAAAAATTTGCTTTTATTTACTAATCAGAATGTATCAAAAATATTAACTGCTTTAATCATAGTCAAGTTTTTGTCTCATTTTAACCACACAATGTTTTTATCCGTGTATATATAATATATATATATATATATATATTGATAGCTTATTTAAATGCCATAAAACCTAATATAATATATTAATATGTATATATGCAACAACTTTTTACGATAATATTGTCATTGTAAATTCTGTATAATGTTTAATTATATTATGATGATTAAGTATAATTCCAGAATTCACGAAAATAAAAATTTTATCTCTTGTGCTTATATAATATTATATTCATATAATTATTGCAAATCTCTTTGTACGCATCTTATTATAATTTTTCTCCAGTGTAGTCCTATACTATAACATTATACACTAACATTTTTAAATGAACTTTTCTGTGCCATCTAATGTCAATTTTATATGATTAAAAAAATTTATACCACTATAATATCTTACTTTTGCATAAAAATGAATATTATTAAGTATTCATACCTTGTTTATATCGACGTTTTTCAACTGTGATTCAAGAGTCTCGTCTTTAGAAGTTAAAGCAGAAGCGGTAGCGCCGGGCTCATCTTTTCCGCCAGCCTGCTGTTTCCTAGTCATATGACCTCGGAATGAAGCTTGGATTTTAGTCGCAGCGTGACACAATTCTGTTTAAAAATATATGCATATAAATAAAAAATAAATAGTTTTTGTGAACATATTGTGTGTGTATGTGTGTGCGTGTGAGAATTGTATTACAACAGATTCGAAATAAATAAAAAGAAAAAAAATCGCTAAACAAAAGAAAGAATTTCCATTTATCTTGTAATAAATATATTCATATAGTGTGTCACACGCACATAAAATTACACATACAACACGAAAACAGTTTGTGTGCGCGTGGAACGCTGGTCGTTTGTGTCCTCGGGGGTTCGATTTTTTTCCTTACCAACGTCATCCGGTCGGAATTCCTTTTCGAAATCTACTTCCTCGGATGTTTTCATCGTGTCGGAGTTTTCTTCTTCGCTAACCGAACTGGTCAAACTATCGCGTTCTTCCAAATCTATTTACACATAAACAAAATAAAACGTAAATTAAATTACGATACACGCTCTTTTCTAGTCATGATATGTACGTAGGACAGGGGTTAGGTAGAAATCATGCCTTCCCCCATCAATAACAATCGCAATGTAATAATTTTTTTCCTTTTACGTCCTGCGCATATGCGGGAATTATTAAAAAGAAAATTTAATAAAAACATAATCAAATATGACCTATTAAATTATGGAAATAGGTACTACAATATAATATAAATTGTGTTGACGATCATTTCCTGGGACTATCATGTGAAGATCGGAAATGTATGGATTAGAACCGATTAAATAAACAATGATGATACGAAATTCCACTAGTTTTTCGTAAAAAATTAAAGGATTTTAGCTCTCGTCGATTTAATTCCCCGTTTGTGTCTATGATTTAATAATATAATAGTGATATTACATATTCTGATTAATGTTTTATATTCTATGTTTGCAAGCGCGGACAACTTACTACATAAAACATTTATTATTATTATTATTATTTATTTATAATATCGATGTGCTTTTTAGATCATTTCTATGTAAATGGTACATACACACTCATGTTGGCGGTGTATATTGTAATATTTGTATTATGGCGCACAGCTAAATATAAAATATTGTACAAAGCTGGTAACCCAATCGTTATTAAACATTTAAAACGTGTATAATTTGTTTTACATGTAATCCATTTTTGCTGTCCTCTGCTTTCAAACTCCTCCTCACATCCTCTATCATCATCAGTCAGTGGTATTAAACAGAAAGCATTAACTCAAAGGGTGTGCAGTATGCGCAAACATTTTTGGCAGATCACAATGTTCTACACGTATGTTCAAAATTACAATCGTATACAAACCACTAGTACAGATCGGAAGAGGAACTACGCAATGCATTTTAACAAACTTTTAAATCCTCATCACGTCATGAAAAATTATACATGTCATTAAAACTTTTGAAACATAAGTGTACGGTTGTACACATCACACACACGAATCTATATATATGACATATATAACCTATATATATATATATTGTGTATATGTACAAGCCAAGTAGTGTTTAATTTCAAAACATGATTTATGGAATTTTCATATTATTCTCTACAATACTGTTATTTGTTTTGTATCGATTATTTGTTTAATTTGACATTGTTCACATTTTTATTTCGGTCATTAAAACATGTTTGGGAAACAAAAAAAAATTGGAATGACTTTCCGCATATGACCTAAACACAATAGGTTACGAACACAATATAATACACGTTGATACACCACTATATATTTTCATTATGGTGTTTTAGTAAATAATGAATATGTGAACGCATTCAAAAACCAAAAAGTATAATAATAATTAAAGCACTGGAGTAAAAACTTTTAAGAATTGTATAGGTTAATAGTTAAATAATATTGGAATATAAAAATTCATAATGTAGGTATAAATAATAAATAATACAGTACATGGATTAAATACATATAAAACAAGGTATTAAATACTTATTGTACATATATTTATAAATATAATTTCAGGATTTAATTCACTCCCAAAATATAGGCACATAATAAATATAACATAATATATATAATAAAAACAAAAAGTATATACTTAATACTAAAAGTATTTGAATTCCTTTACTCAAATACTTTTACTCAAATACTTTACAAGGGTTTATGTATAAATATATATAATAAATGTAAACACCTCACGTGTGTTTTATATTTTTATACCAAAGCACATAGCTATTTCATAGATACCATCGTATTTTTGGGATTTATTTATCCCAGATGCCATATAATAAATATTACCCAAAGTTTAAATTTTTGTTCTGGTTTTTGGCACTCATACTGTATATTTGAAAAATGTGAACAATGATAAAGAATACCCGAGAAAAAAATACTTGACAAAATAAAATACTCGACTTCTTTTTGTTAGTAGATAAAATGATAATAAAATGAACATAAATAGATGTACAATAAAAACAAGGGTATCTGGGTATATATAATAATAATACTAAAAAAATGTCTACTACATTTTATAATATATATATATATATTTATATGACTTTTGGAAAGGGTAGTGTTGAGAAGGAAACACTACCACACTGTGCCCTACATTTTTTTTAGACTCCGCACACAGTATAGTGCAAATCAATGCTCCATTTCTCGTATCCTTACTGTTTTATCATATTCTTGTGTCTTTTACTTTCCCCGGTTTATATGTTTTTTTTTTAATCATTGAAACTGCTTCTCACAAGAGGATATTTTTTTTATTGGTAACGTCCATCTCATTTGGGATATTCTAACCTACAAAATATAAGTAATTCACGAATACTTGCTGTTGTAATTTTCCAAACCCATTTTATTAATTATATCTAACTAATAATAATAATAATAATAATAATAATAATAATAAAGTCTGATTAAATTTCAATGCTTATATTATATACAATATATACTATATTATACTACCTAGTACCCAGTACCTACTACTATTCGTACACAGAATATAATACGAGTAAGTGTACCTACACAGCTATATTGTAATAAATATCATATCATTTTTATAGTTTGTTTTTTTATGTCTATTGAACTTATGCTAAATTTTGAGTGAATCTAAAGTTATTTAAAATTATTTTAAGTTATAAGCTGGAATATAAAAAGTCATAAAAAAAATAACGACCATATATCCAAGTGAATGATAAATTGAAATATTATATAATATGTTTATGTTTATACATTTTTTGTCAGTATAAAATATTAGTATGGCGAAGATTTCAGTAAAAATCATAGTAAATAATTATTCTCGTGGGAAAAATCTCGATTATAAAGTTTTCAAAATAAACTTATTTTTTAATCCATCAATAAAATTACTTTCGCCTGTATAAAAATACTTCACGATGTAAATCGTTCTCACAAGTTGTACCGATCTCTCTCTCTCTCTATATATATATTTAGGCGTATTGTGAACCATCAATCAAACAACCTTTCGTGTAAATAAAGAAAAACAATTTTCACTACATGTACAATAAGGATGTAACTCATAAAATACTATAATATTGTCTTTACAAGTTTGTATTTTTTTAAATTTTAAATTCATCCCAAATGTTATTTGTAATCATTTGTTAAGAAATGTATTTTATCTAAAACTCCTCATTTATTCAATTAACTCATTAGCTTAAGATTTATACGCTTTAAAATTTAAATATATTCATTCTCGAAGAACTAATGCGAGTCAACTGTATGTAATTAATTTGTGAAAATCAATGACATCTTTATTATAGTCTAATAAAGTATATTATTAATTATTATTATACAAACAATAGTTTTGTAGAACAACTCCTATCGAATTCTTAAAAATCATTTACTATAATATATTGTATAATTAAAGCATTATAAAAAAGGCATAAATTAGGCATGGATACTAGTTAACATACCATAGTAATTAATATTATGTTTTTACGGGATTAGACGTACAATTCAGTAACTAAAACTACTCAATTCCAAAAAACCACATTAATAAGTAATGAATTAATTTATATCAAGTTAGAGTTGCATTTATTTATACTCACAAAAAATCAAATAATAAAATATTATAAAATAATAAGATATTGTCTAATAATTTAATTCATATCGCGTAATATTATTATATTATAAAGATAAATGGGAAATTAAAAATTTGATTTAATTTATTCTTATTTTTATTTTTCATTATTCAGAAATATTCAATACACTTTAAGAATAATAATAATAATAATACATGGTTATAAAAATAAACAGTAGTAAGTTATATGTAAAATTTTTAGAAGAACAAATGATAAAATATTTTCGAATTTTTGTCATATTGATAAAAATAAACCATACACATTAACGTACTTAGTGAGTTATTGTTTTTAACTACCTATAAGCAATATAATTATTTATATGTACCTATTAGAAATAATTGTCCTATATTAAAAAGTTAATTAAAAGTTTTTATATAACTTTTAACTTATCTGAGTTAAGAAAATAGATAACTGTTAACTTTAAGTTTTTAAAATGTTTTTCTATGAATTTAACTTAGAAAATAGCATTAATTCGCTAACGCTTTAATTACTTGCTATGTTTAAATACAAAATATTAATCTAAAATCCATGGTGACTGGAATTTATTGTTCACAAGAACCCATCAAATGTACTCGTACTCGTATAGGTAGGCAATATTTTGTATTAATAAACCGAAGGTCAACTCGAAAATTCGTTGCATTAGACGTACAGACGATTATGTATGAATGGTGTAATATTATGTGTATAATGTATATTATGGCAATCTAAGGTGTAAACACTGTAAACCGTCTATAAAACCGTTTTCACTGAACATTAAAAAAAAGAAAATAATCTCTTCGCCCGTCTGCGAATTATTATTATCATTGTTATACTGCAGTAGTCGGCCAGCCTATTGTACTTAACGTTTCCACAATTTGCGTTGTTCGCACGGGCAATTTATTTCGCGACGGGCGTAATGTATTTAATATTTATACAATTGTGGAACTACTTCGGGTTATATAATACTATATTGTGTGTGCATATATATATATATATATATATATATATATATATATATATATATATTTGTATAGGAATATAGAATAGGTATGTGTACCAGCTATTATACGCGTGCATACGGCACCATTAATATTATATTATTAACGATTTATCATCACGATTTGCGACGTGCATATATAATGTATACAACGCAATGCTTAGGTGTAATTTGCAGGGTACTTTTGCGTATGTACAAAATATTACATCATATTTATCATGTAAGTGCGTATATGATTTTGTGGACGAGGGTGGAGGATATATACGTCAGCATGCCACTGTTGGGTCTTTTTGTTTTTCCGAACCGAGGACACCCCTTAATAAATATACGTATAGTTCTAGAGTAAGTGTATTATTAATAATAATTTAGTATGAATTAATACCATTCTATTCGGTTTGGTGTAAAATATAACGTACCTATTTATGT